AAAAATCAAGGCGAATTTGAGGAGGAGGGAGAAGAGATTCGTCTCCATCACCACCACCACCACCACCGTCGTTTTCGGGAGCGGCGGCGACGGCGACCGGCGAAACGCAAGCAAGAAGCAGAAATTGGAAAAGAAGAAGGGGAATGCTTGAGTGGAGTGAGGAAGATGAAATGTTGTTAAGGAAGAGGAACGGTGGTTGGCTATGGAACCCTATTTATGACGCAGAAAGAGACTTGGGATCAAAGCACATTTTTATGGGTTAGGAACAAGACGGATCTGCCTCCCGCCATCTAAAAATAATAAGCGGATAAAATAAAATAACCCTCAAATTACTCATTTCTATCCCTGTGATTTCTACTTAATTATAATAATGATAATAATTAAGGTTTTTTTTTAGTAATTAACGTTTAATTTCAATTTAGCATTTCTTATAGTTTGTTCCAGTCTCGGGTTTAGTTCTGGGTACAGCGAATAAGGAAAGAGGGATGCAGCCTTTTTTTTCCTTCTTTTCCAAATACGAAAGCAGCCTCTCTTAGTTATATTACACTAACAAAATTACACTAAAATTTTAACATTTTAACATTTTCTATTTTTTTTAATTGAAATGTTATATGCATATAAAGTTAATAAGTAAGATTTTGCCTAATTTTCTTTTACTTACATTCCGCTTAATTTACTATCATATTTTAATATGACATGTTTTATTTATCTACGTGATAATGAATTAGTATTTTTTTATATAATAATAAGTCTGCATTTTTTATATTATTGACTTTAGTTAGTTGATGTATTTAGATTCACGATTGAATAAAAAATTAAAACAAAAAGGCGAATTTTCATATGGTTGAAAGTGGTTGTCATCCTTTGCAAATTATGAAACTAAATTAAAACTTTTTAAAATGAGTTAAAATTCAAATTATATGACTAAATAAGGTTTTAAAATATAAAATTATCAAATTTAAATTAGAAATCTGACATAAAATAATTATTATAAAAAACGAAAGATCAAAAATAATAATCATAAAATGAATAACGGAAGTAGAAGAAAAGCAAAGGGTAAAGTGGTACTTTTTTATGCCGGTCTTTTTATCATTATCTAATGTGGATGTTTCGTGTCCGAAAAAACTCTAACAACCATTGATAGATGGAGTTTGGATTTCCATTTTTAGTTGAAAAGTTCTGAAAAATATCTTATCCTTTTTACTATGGATTGTTATTTTTTTTCCAGCAAAGAGAATATTTTAATTTGATATGCTAAAGAGAATTTTCAATAACCATTGGATCATTATTATTTAATTTTGATTATTTATGGGGTAAAAAAATTCATAAACATTGGATCTCATTTTCACTAATATAAAATCAACTAAAGCATGCTGAGATTTTAAAATAACTTTTACTTCCACGTCATAATTGGTTAAGATGCCCATTAAAATAATAGCGTTAAGAAATTAATCATCTTCTATTAAGGTTGGTTTTATTTGAAAATATATGTATGAATTATTGACCTTTAAAATAATGTGTTGCACTAAACAAACATCTAAAATAACGTGGAATATATGAAACAGATACTTATGCAGCTAAATATAAATGAATTCCTATAAATGCATCAATTGTCTATATTCATTTAACATGATAGGATGATTAAATACATTTTATTTACACGTGTTCCACATTTGTGTTATTTCCATGGTGTATTAGTAAAAGTATTAAATTTACATTATTATTGATAATTAATTTTTATTGTTAATTCAAATATAGCTCAACTAATTATAACATACTATTTTCAATAAAAAAAGTTATGAATTTAAATTCTCATCTATTAAGAAAAAAGACAACATGGGAATCAACCATCTATTAAAAGCAATCATTATTCTACAACTAACACCAATAAATATCTGACGCTCCACATTCACATCTTTAATTGCAGCCTTTTTTTTTAATTAATTCTAATAATAATAAAAGAATTGCAGCTTCTCGTTCTCGTGTGGGCTACGGCTATTTGTGAATTATTTTTATTTTAATTTTTGGCATTATTTTATTTATAATTATTCGAGAGTCAGTACGCAAAAGAAGAGAAGCACTAATGTTAAGAGCATTATGAGATGGTTGAGTGGGAAGATGTAGAGGATGATTATATCTTCCTCACAATCATGAAATCATGCTTAGAAGCTAAATAACACAGAAATTTGTCCAACTTTTACAGCTACTACACCCTAAAATATTTGTAGGCTATTCTTATATATAATTCTAACAAACTGAAATACGTCCATCTCGTTGAAAATATCGAAAAATTAGAAAAGATATCATTTTACTATAATTACTTGAAAGGTTAAAATAATATTTTGTAATCCTATTTTAGAACTTATTTTATTTTAGTCCATTGTGTGATTTTAAATATTTAAATTTAGTCAACTGGAACTTTCAATCAATTTTAAGATAATCTCTATGGTCAAGTTGAGGTTAATTTTTGAAAAATAAAAATTAGTCAATGTAGTCATTCCCTTTAAATTTTGGGACTTACAATCACAGGACGCCTTTCATTATATAGAAGATATTGTTTTCCTCATCGGTTATCGACAGACGAGGAAGTCTCATGTGGGGTTTGGATTTTCCTGAAATCTCTCCCTGGATTAGCACTGTCTTAGATACCAATTTTTTTAATGAAGTTATTTTATTCTAAAAAGAATGAAAATTAACCTCAAGCCAATAGTATGGACCATTTTGAAGATTTATGTCATAAAAAAAAAATAAAGATTTATGGGAAGTACATAGAGTAAATTTGAACATTTAAAAATATATAGACTAAATATAACAAGTCTAATAGCATTAGAGCCAAAATGATATTTTAACCTTACGTGAAATGGTAAATTAGTAAATCATATGCATTTTAATTAATGATGATTTCTATAATGAAAATACCAAATTATTGTTGCAAACTCTTCAATATTATTAGAAGTTTACCACAAACTTTATATATAAAGCAAAACATTGAAATGTTTTTTTTTTTTTAATTTGATTGCTTCTCGAGTCCACCAATTAATTAATTTTACACATTTTAACCAATGATGATTTTTATAATAAATATATCAAATTATCGTGGCAAACTCTTATACACCATTAAAATTTTATTGCAGATGGTATGGAAAAGCATAACATCAATTCAAGATCATCTCTGTTTGACTCTTCACCAAAAATACAATTAAAATTTAGTGGCATCACTAAAAAATTAATGTAACACATGAGACCAATACAAATAATTCATATAATATATTGTAGTAAATAAAAATAAAAAATGTAAGAAGTTTTCTTTGTGTGTTGTGTGTGGCTTAATCCTTAATGATTATTGTTTAATTACTTGGAAGTTTGGATCTACGATCCATATAGTTTATTGTCAATGCCTTTCTATGTAAGATGCTATAGCCAACATGCGTGTGATTTGATATTGAAACATCTACATGTTTTTTCTTAACATCAATCATCATCCATATGCTCCTATATGGGACATTCCCCAATTCATATAAAGTGTCATAATTCCTTTTATCCAGCAGATAATTTTAAAATAATACTATTTTTCAAGAATGCCTCTCCAAAAGATTATTTCAAATAACTATTCACATTTCAAAAATTATATGCTATTCTTCAAAAATGAATTTTTGCTTTTTAGGGAAAAAAAAAAAGAGTAAAACCATTCAATCATAGTTAATTATAACTTCGTAGCTTTTTCCAAGAACTAATTTTTACCCCTAGACTTGACAATGTTAATCAAACTCCATCAAAATTGACCAACTTACCAAGTTCAGTGATACAAATTGATTTTTTCTGCAATTTAACTATTAAACACATAAAAATATTAATCTTTACAAATTATCATGTCACGGTTCAAAGACAATATAAAAAATAAAATAAAATAAACAACTATTTTCGAGATAAAATTTCCAAAGAATCCCTTGGCTTATTTTCTAGATCCTCAACTGGAGACAGCTGTCAAATAAGAATAAATAGCTTCGGACCAAGGGATCGAATTAAATCTTAATCAATGATGTGCCTATAGCGGCTATACTAATTACCATACAAAGTCCATATCCTACATTTAACCAAATAAAGCTAATATTCCCATTCTGCATTGTGCATTCCACAGTGGGGTCACAGTCACCAAACAAAAATATCATACCAGAATTTCCATTTATGCGTTTTCAAATTAGTATAAATTTAATTATTAAATACATTTACAATATTCATCTAGATTATTGCATTTATTATCTATATATAGATCCAGAGAATAAGAAAATGATTAGGAATTTCTCTCTCTGCTCATACTTTCCCAAGTTATCATATGCTAGAATGATTAGGGGGATGGAATCAACATAATATCAGCTAACGTGGAGTAACATTGACTCAGGGAATTTTTATAATATTTAATATGTTTATTTTTTAAAAAACTGTACAAATATATGAGAGAGAGAACGTGAAACCTGGGATCCACTTGTTAAAAGATCTACTCAGCGACTTCAACCATTTCCTGTTCAACCGTGTCATGCACAACAGGATAATATTTGTAGTGAAGTTCTCCAACGTCGTCACCAGATAGTTTCTTCCATCCATTTGGTCCAACAAGATAAACTGAAAAAAACACCATTTTCAAATAAATATATGATTGCAAACCAGAAATCAACACATAACATGCATATCGATATGAGGAAGAGACGATGATCGGGATATACCACTAGCAACTCCGCCACTGGCTCCATCCCGGAATGTTGCATGATAAATTGCTCTTCTAGCTAGCTCAGCAGCTTCTTCAACCAACATATCATAACGGTAACTGCAGGTGTGCAGGAATTAGAACACCTCAGACCCAATTTAAAGTTTGATATGGTCAATAACTAAAAATTGAACACGAAGGAGTAAAGCATAGTAATCATTAAGTAGTGAATTTCTCCTTGCTTGGTCTGTGGTATCCTAAGCTTTTTGTATCAATAATGATGGTTTCAAGGTTCTATGTTAATGAAAATGAAGGACCAATAATGAGCAAGCATGCATACAGCATACCCATTGTCAAGGACGCCATAAGCATAAGGCGAACCAGATCCAACTGAAAATCGAGTTCCTTTCAGCCTTCCTCCTTCGCTGTCAACATAATACAGTCCAGGACCCTGCAGACCCATAAGATATATACGTTCGAAGAATTTAGCATTATATTACAAGAAATCGTGAATAAGAGTATGTAAGGGAAGAGGTTACAGACTTACAGTTTCATCCCATCCAGCAATCATGGTACCTACTGAAAGACCCATTCCCCGGTAAGAGTAGAGAATGTTAGCCAGCAACTTGGATGCACCCGTAACTGAAATTCTGCGCTTGTTTGCCAACTCGTGTAGGCGACACTATATCATGTCAAATAATTTTCATTAGCAAATTCATGTGAAATGTAAATTATTGACATCAAGTTTAACAGAGTTACAAACTAACAAAATAGTTGCACTACATCAATGTTACAAACGGCTGAGTATCAATTCATCTGTTTCTTTTTCTCCTTGAACAAGAAGACGTATGTCTCGCTATCACTAAAAACTAGTCATGACATGGTAATCACAATGCGTTTAATAGACATGGTCCGAATCTTATTATATTAAGGATTTTGATGTACTAAAAGGGCATTTCCAGGATAGTAGAGTAACTGTTTTAATCGTTAAATACGGTTATATATAACTTCTATAGCAACAATGTTCATATGACTAATTTAAGGGGGACATTCAAGTCCAGTGGCTGTGGAATTCACATCCGCTAGGAAATTTTGTTTAATTCAATGATTATTGGCCACTGATTCACCATGCAAAACGCATGAATTCTCCTGCATACTCAGTGTCATCAATCTTCTCAAAGTTCTCAACGCCAATCAGCCAAATTAACAAACCTTCAAACTCTCAAGTGACAATGAGAAAGACCAAGAAGGGGTTTCTTGGAATAATAAAATCAAAATGGTCCAATTACTTATTTAGTCCAAAAGGATATCTCATGTTTGTTTGGTTAACAATCAGAGAGCCAAAGGTCCAAAACTTTCAGTTCCCCTCGTTTCAATAAACTGGAAAAAAAAAATTTTAAAAAAACTTTCACTAACAAAAAGGGGAAGGCTGGAATAGATAGGAATCCAATTCCATACCTTCCCCCAACCAATGAAATGACACTGCCCCAAAATTGAGACACGGGCATGTCCATATCTGTGCTATTACGGTCACCAAATAATTTAATACATTTCTTATGAGAATTTTCATTCCATTCCTAAGGGATCCTGACCGAGCAAACAGTAAACGTTGTTGAAGTTGTATACCTTTGTTATAGGAAGAAGTATCCAACACAATAACACTTGTGCCGAACAAAGGTTATGAAAATATCCAATGCTGCGAAAGAAATGCATAGATAACCTTAATTCCAAGATTTCCGTGCCAAAACTGGCAATCAGCAGCTCCTCCAGCCATTGTGCCAAGCATGTACGGATTTATTTCAATGACCTTCTTCACAGATTGAGATGCTGCAAATTTCAGGAAACAGAATTAAATTGGTTGGTAATAGATAGCATTCTGAGAGGGACATTGTGGCACATTAATCATTAATGTCCTAAATTTGTGCAACCAACTAGACCCCAGATAGCTATTTGGACTGAGACAATCCAGTATATAACCAAGCCAAATTTTATCCTTGATAAGTTTTACACGTGAATCAAATTAACTTATAACATTAGAAAATAGAGGACTGTGAAGAGCAAAGAAACCAAAAAGTGGCAAAATACTTTTCCTAATAATAATGCACCTTGATAAGGTTTACAAGAGATACATATTAGGGTATTATATTAAAAAAAATGCAGGATTTTAACGAGAGAGAGCAGAACCAACATATATATCCTCCCATGCTCGCTCGGGAATCTGCAGCAACCATGACTCCTTCCTTGAAAATGAAGGCCAGAGTTGTCGTCCCCTTTGCTGGCTTTACCATCTGGATAGCCTCTTTCTGAAATCCATCAAACTGAAATGGGAGGTTGGGAGTTAATCTTTTGCAAAATTACGTTCTTAAGTAATCCCAAGTTATGGGAGAACAAGAATGAGTAAGAACCGAGAAGCTCATTATCACTCACATTAGTAGCATTTGGAATATCAAAAGATGGGGCAGTGGATAACTCATCGAGTAGCTCAGTATTACTCGCGCCAGATAGGAAACTGGCTGATTCAAGGCCGCTAGTATCCAGCTTCATGCTCGAGGTCTAGTGACAAATAAACAACAAAAATCCAATAAAAAAATTTGCTACTAATAAAGCACAATATGAAATATAACACACACAAAAAGAACCCCAAAAACAATCTAACTTCGAGTAATACCACCCAAACAGCCGCAAACAATGAGCAGCAAAAAGCGGGAAACATAGAATCAACCCAAAAATCAAAGTCCCAGCAGAAAATCTCGTTCTGTCTCTGCATTTTCTCAAGAACCAAACTGAAACTATAACCTATACTAGAAATCATATTTTACGAGATTCAATAAAGTAAATTACCATGGTGAAACTGAACGAAAATTTCGGTAATCGCCGTTATTTAAAGAAGAAAACTGAAAATAGAGGTCGAATAGGAAATAAGCTTTTAACGATACCGTTCAAAAGAGGAGGAGGAGACGATAGCAGGCGTATATCAAGCAGGATGAACACTACAGCGGACGAAACGATTCGGGAAATGCCAATTGTTTCACGAATGCGTCTTCACTTCAGTAGAACTTTAAGTCGGTCGGTTTCTTGTGCTCCAGGAAAAGAAAAAGAGAATCCCAATATTACACATAATTGTATAAAAAAAATAAAAAATAAAAAGACCACATCAGTTTTATAAAATTTATTTTTTATATCAAATTTATTTAAAGAATTTCAATTTCTTTAATATTTTTATAAATAACGTATTTTGTAAAATTTATTAACTATTTAAAGCTTTTTTTTTTTTAATACTAGTTTGGTGCCAATACTTCCAGCTTTTGTTCATCTTAATCTCTATAATTTCAAAATATTTATTTGGGTCTCCGTATTTTTATAAAGTGATCATTTTAGTTATCATTTGCAAAATTCTAACACAATTTTACACCTAACAAAAACTATTCATTATAAAAGTAATGTTTATATTTTAAAAAATATATTGATTATAGTATTTGTTGACATTGTGATTGGAAAAAATGAGATTATGATGAACTAAAATTGAGAGTACAGAGACCACAACAAACATTTTGAAAATATAAAAATCAAAATAAGTCAATCTTAAGACTTACTCAGTAAATAAATAAATAAACAATTATTTATTCAATTCAAAATATGATTGAAGATCGAATGTATTCAACATTAAAATTAGTTTATCAAGTATTGACCATTGCTAATATTTATATACTCGGTTATTAACTATTTATTTGATTTTAAAAATTCTAGAAATGTTGAAAATATTGAAAATTTCCTTGTCAATGCCCCAAAGGCCATCTGGGCCCAAGCTCCAGTCCAAGTGTTCGGCCCAAGCTCATAGAGCTCCATTTCAAAATCATGATTATATATTGGATGTTTTGAAATTATAAATATTTTTAATCATATTTTAAATTACACCAAGTTCCTTTCAGGGAAAAAAAATTGAGTTGTACTTTTTTAATAAATCCAATATCAATAAAATATAAATAAATTTAACTTTTAACATTTTTGCTATTTCGTAATTGGAAATTTGGAAGTTCTCCTCTCTCTCTGTTTTTTTTTTTAATTTATATTTCAATTATATACTAAAAAAATTCTATAAGATCACAGCCAACTTTTTTTTTTCTCTTGTAATTTTCGTTGCTTCGTCAACATCCATAATTTAGCATAAATGGAAACGTGGATTGATACAAATAAAGATTGGAGCCGCACTACTGAAATTTAAAACAGAAGAAATTCAGTACTCCAATTCCATTGCATCATATTCATTGGTGCAACTTAACATCTCCATACCAGTCCGAGTCAATATTTATAATTTAAAAAAATTCCCACTCTTCAACTTGATTCAAATAAATAATTAAAATAATAATCAATTTGAGAAGTAAAGCTATACCTAAACTCAGGTTTTCTTTTAATCATTTCATATGCATGAAATTTATAGATACCAATCTCGATAAATATTTCATAAAGGACAATAACGATTAACATAACTTGCGTATGATCGCCGTCATTATTCATCATCAGTGCTTACATAAATATTAATACTATTTTATCAACTTTTCTAAGGTTAAATTAAATTTAGAAACTATCTCATTATTCTTTAATTTTTAATTATGTATCTAATAGATCCCTAAACTTTATACATGTATTAATCCTGCTATTCAAAAAATTTTAAAATCAATCAGTTTAATTAGTATGCATAAATGCTTAATAAGTTATGGATTTTTTTTAAAATGTCAAAAAGAGAAAACATTATTAAAAGTAAAATTAAAAGTTTAACGATCTATCGGAATATTTTCAAATACCTTTTACAATCTAACATATTTTTAGATTTTTTTTTTGTTTTGTTACGTTTTGAAAATTGTAAATTATTGTTCAGTTTCACTGTGGAAGCAGGTGGTGTATTCATTTTCCAAAAAAAAAAGGAAAAAAAAAGGCGTGGGTTGTAAATTGTAATGGACCACTCCCAATGAATCAATGATAAATTCACTTCACCTAACTAACATAAACATCTTTAATTTACAATCTCTTGAAAGGTCGTTCGATTGCTCCCATCTAACCAACCCTTTGAACCCATTGAGAGTCAATATTCACACGTGGATCGGGTCAACTCCACTCAACATTCAACTCATTCCCATTAAGTAGGAGCTGTCATCGCAATCCTCAATTTTGTGTTTATTTAAAAGATAGACAACATACCTTTAAATATCCTGTAAAACAATATTGTATAATTTCATATTGACATGAGTTACTCCTTTTATTGCTAATTGATTCTGATATTGAACCAATATTAATACGGTATTAGAGTCCAAATAACTCAAACGAGCATCCATTCTAAACAATTGGATCTGACCAAGATTGTTGAACTCAAAAGATGCATCATCTTGAGGCACATTGAAAATTGGTTTTCGAGACGAAACTCCATAAATATTAATATCAACTTTAAGCATAACCCTTTCTGGCTTTACTTTTGGTTTAACCCAAAAGACTCCATATTTACGAAGATAAATTGTTTTATCGTTTATACTGTAGAACGCTATCTACTCTAGCCAATTGTACTTTGTTGCCTTGCAACCATAACACGACAAATAGTGAGAATATTCAAACCTCTTACCTTTGGAGACAAGTAATGCATCGATCAATTGAACTATATTTATGTTGATCAATATTGATTTTTCTTATTTTCGTCCGTTTTTTGTGCTTATCTTGTTAAAAATCTCATATTTAAAAGATACGAAGTCTAATAAAGGTTTATAATATAAGCTACTTGGTTAATTGACAATTAATTTTGAAATGAAACTCCATAAATTTTGATATGACATTAGAGTCCAACTAGCTCAAACAAATATATGATAACAACATATGAGGTGAAGTTTTTTTTTTTTTTTTTTTTAAACACATATGAGGTGAGTTATTTACATATGAGTGGAACTTTCCTATATAATTTTCATTTAAAGAATATTTAGAGTTTTAGCTCATTATGTCTTAGTTTGTCCTTTATATTTATGTTTGTTTAAGATTTTGTGTATTTTTTCAATATATAGATTTGAAATTTCCAAATTAGTTGAAAACACTTGATTCATAATGAACCAAACACGACTTTTACATATTTAGTATTAATTTTATTGGAATATTTGGTCAGAAGATGCATATGTAATTAACTATAATGGGCATGAATTTTATAAAAGTAGTAGTATAATACAGCTCCCACTAAAATAACATTTAAAATTTAGCGTCACTTCATAATTTGACCACTACATAAAAAAAAATAATAATAATAATATTTTTAATTATCTTGATACTGCTATACCCTCCAGTATCTTGAAACGACACGAACTTTATTTACCATTAATTAGAATGAAACTATTATTTATTTAATGTCGTTATGGTAAATAATGGAAATCACAAATCTGGTGTTATTGTTTTAAATCTGTTTAAATTCAAAACAAATTTTTTTTTATTATTATTTTTTTAATCTCCAGAAATGGTCTTGAGGTTGTTTGTTGGAGACCTGGAGTAAAGCGAACGCTGCATAAGTTCAAAATTAAAAAAAAAAAAAAAAAACTAAAAATGCGTGCAAATATATCATACTTCATTGGCTACGAAGTTATAGGAATATCTAATCATTTTCCATTTCCGTCTTCCGAAGACTCATATATGATATTAATTGGATTTTGAAATTGTCACTAAAAAAATGGACTTTTTTAAACAAGAAAAAAAAAGGATTTTGAAATTGGAATATATACACATATATAGAAATATTCTTTTAGTTTAACCGAAGATCCAACATCTAAATTTTACTCGAGGTAGAGCTAAAATATGGTTAACGTCTTCTTAAAATTTAGTATATTAGTTTCAAAGTTACAAGTTTAGTTATTTGAGCAACTCAAAGATCACGACGCAACATGTACATATATATATATTATAGAAAATATCAGTTTGAACTTTCAAAGGTATATCAATTTTAATTAAACTTTAAATTTCCTCAAATTGCAGCAACTTTAATAAGCGTTACAATTTTTTTTCCCATTAATAGATTTTTCATTTAAAATTTGTTGAAAAAAGTATTATAAAACGTGTCAAATGAACAATAAAATATTTGTTAATTTAGATAGTTATCAGAGTTTGTTGATCTTAAGACCATAACAGTATGTTATTTTTTCTTGTATGCAAGTGTTCGTTAGAATCATCAACGTTGGAGATCGAAATCAAACTCCTGTATTGATAAAAACATCAGTTCATACATAACCAATACATGATGTTTGGTCGAAGTCTAAAAAATATGAAATTATTATTGATTTGACTAAATTAAAGAGAGTGGGCATGGATAGATTTTAAATTTTATTTCATTATATGTTACAAGGTATCTTTCAACATGTCATGCATTATTGCATCCAATTATTTTGTTTATAAATATATCCCCTCTCCTAAAATTTAGGTCTCAACATGAAATATTTCATTCATGTCTCCGACCACTATGCTCTAATTATGTAGAGTTTGTTTGGTAATCTTTTGTTTTAAAAAGGGTATTTATTTAGTAATAACACACCTTTAAATTATCTTCTAAAATTATTGTCATTTGAAAAAAAAAAAATCTCTTTTTATAAAGCTGGCTAGTATTTTTTAAGTATTTATTTTAAAGTTAAACGATACCCTTTAAAATGCAGGAATGCATATATGTATCATGCGTGTGTATATATAATTTTCTAAACTGGTTTAAAAAAAACATAAAACAAAATAATAAAATAATTCCCACTCAGACCTTACTCAACATTTTTTCAATAAAAAAATTTAATAAACTAATAATTTAAAGCTTATTTCTACATCATATAATTTCAATCTCTAAAATTTTTAAAATATTGATTTTGATATTGGTATATTTAAGATTATTATATTTTGGTCTTTATATATTCGTCTATTAACTCTTTTGAACATATTTATTTTGGTTATTGTCTTTATTTTACCTCTCTTTGTATATTTAACATTGTTGATATAGGTGACACAATAAGTCGTGTAAATAGATTAAATTGAATATTCAATAAGTATATATTAGAAAGTAAAATAACATAAATATATATATATATATATATACTTCGTAAAGGTTATGAAACTAAAATTAATAGTTTAAAAATTCACTAACTTTTGTAATTATAGATTTAAAGTGACTATGTTATAACTTATAACTTAGTTTATCTATTTTTCTATTTATTTTTCACTATTATTCGATACCATATTAATTTAGCACTACGTTTCCTTCGAAATTCACCATGACTAGGAAGCACACCTCGTGCCACGTCATTTCCAAATCATGTGTGTGGTTTTCATTTTCCATTTGTTGTGCAAATGACACGTGGCCGGATGATGATGTAACAAAACAATAGATACTTTCTTCAGGAAATCAGGCGATACTTTATGAGACAATGCAATAATTCAACAGGCACTTGAAGTCCAGAAATTCAACTCATCACTCATTATACCGAGGAGAAAAAAAAAAAGAAAGAATCAAACGTGTAAAGCCACGTGGTAAAGTAGATCTCTCCGAAAATTTCTCGTTGACAACGTGTACACAGATGGGGATACGAGTCCAGCTTGGTAATTACTAATTTAATATAATATATATTTTTTCTTTTTGGTTTAAAGATTTAATTTGTAATCGGGTTTCGATTTCGAACCGAGTAACGTTCGTAGAAAGCCAAGTTTTTGTCAACTTGACCACGCTATTAACGGATCTGGTAGCCGACATGCCAAAGTCGGCGACTGTCGGCCGAGGAATTGATTATTAAATACATATTTCCCCGATTTTACCATCTTCAACTTAAAATTAAAGGTTTTTTTTTTTGACAGAAAGTTTAAAATCAAATTTTAACTTACAAACTTAGTCTTTTTAACTATAATACCAAAAAATAAAAAATAAAAAAATACTATAATATTACGTCTAATAAATTATTTAATTTTTAAAAATATTTAATAGATCTCTAAATTTTAATAATGAATTTGATATGTCTCTAATTTCTTAAAATTTATGGACGATATTATTTTTTATTTTCTATTTTTTTCAAATTAAATTTATTAAAACAATGTGTTTATTTAATTTGTTTTTATTTTTAATCTCCTCTAAGCTACATTTTGACGACTCTAGAAAAAAGTAGTTTAAATTTAAAACTATTGTTTTACTTGTCTATATTTTTAAGAAAATAAAATTATAATAAATAAATGGTGAGAAAGTTAAATATAATTTTTTAAAATGTAAAATTAAAGATGAAGTCATTGTCAAACAATTGATTTGAAAAAAATCATCAAATGGATCAAACAAAATAACTCCAGGGTTTATGATAATGGTATTTTAATTATTTAACTTTAACTGTTCCCGGTGCAAACTAATTTTGGACTTTTATTTATGTATACACTCGTGCATACTAAACGAACATATCTATATATATTTTATATATTTTTTCCAAATTTCGGCGATGTCACTTGTTATGCACAAAATCGCAACGTCTTTTTTTTTTATTTTTTTTTATCAAATAGAGTATAGCTGTGACTTTTTTTCAATGTATTTATCTTACATTTTAATTTTGGTTAGATTTGTATTGTATTATTATTATTATTATTATTATTATTATTATTATTATTATTATTATTATTTATTACTTTTTTGTTTTTGTAAAATTTCAAAATTTGTGGTGTTGAGTTAGTGAATCAATTAATTTCATCTAATTACATTCATTTGAATAAGTGGTACAATAGACGTATGGTTAGTATTTATTTATTTATTTATTTATTATTATTATTTTTAGTTGATATGACTAAGTGTGAGCATGCTTATTGGTTGTAAACCTGTATGATAATGTTTTTGATTAATATATACTTGTAGTTTGATAATTAAGACAATTATGATATATGGCTTATATGATGAGTTCAAATTAATTCAAATTATCTTTGGATTTTTTTGTTTGTATTTTTTGAACATTTATTGATATAAATACTTTGTCAATATGTTACTCAATATTTCAAATTGAGACTTCCATACGTCCATTTTTTCTTTTTCGGATACAACATGTGGGGATGGAGATTTCAACTCGTATAGGTGTCTTAATCACTTGAGCTATGCTCGGTTTAGCTCCATATGTCCATTTGCATCTATATTAGGAGAGTTTGTTTGGAAATAAATTTATATCACCTTATTGAAATCGGTAAATATCGAAGATGGGTATTTGTGTCAATCAACATCCAAATTGATATACTTATATTTTCAAATATAGAGTTAGAATAATAATTTATCGATAGATCAACTTTTCTATCACAAAAAATAAAGAATGAGGAACTATTTGGGATATCCAGTGAAAAAGTTAACAACAAAATTATTATTTATTTAATTTTTTTCAATATATTATCAACCACGTTCAACCTTCAACGTTATTTTTGCTCTAATCTAACTCATTGGCACAATGGCTAGAGGCTGGGTGCTGATACCACTTTTTTTTTTTTTCTTTTAGCATT